ACTCCTTGGCATATACCCAAAGGACTCATGCTATTGCAGACACACTTGTACAACCACATTTGTTGCTGCTCTTTTCACAATAGTTAAGAGATGGAAGCAACCTAAATGCCCCTCAACTGACAAGTGGTTAATGAAGATGTGGTATATTTACACAATGGAGTTCTAGTCAGCAGTAGAGAAGATGAAATAATGAAATTTGCAGGTAAATGGATAGACCTAGAAACTGTTATATAAGTAACACAGACTCAGAAAAACAAACGACCTACGTTCCCCTTCATTTGTGGATCTTAGCACCAAATCGTTTTAAGTGAGTGCGTATCTGGATATAACTGCAGGAACCAGGAAAATGGAAGGAAACCACAGAAGTAAAGGGAAAAAAGGAACCAGAGCAAGAAGAATAGTAGGAGACAGGTGCTACTAAGGGAGAAATGTGTAAAAAGAGGGTAGTTAGATGGGAGGGGTAAAAGGAGGGCCATACAAGGAACCATGGGACTAGAGGGGAAGAAGGAGCTCAAAAGAGGTGGTACCATAGTTTAGAAAAATTATCAAGGGAGAAATGGGGATAAGAGGGATACTTTAAATGGGAAGGGTGGGGTGGGAGGATAAGACAGGGAGAGAAAGAGGAGACATAAATAGTGCCTAGCTAGTATAAAAAGCCAGAGGGAATCATATTAGTCCAAAAACCTACTGAAAAACTACACATACAACACATCCCTACATGAATCAGTGAGTATAGCTGATGCCTACGTAACAAAAAACAGTACCAGAGAAACCTTCCTTTGAGTTGTTGGCCAAGGCAGTACAAGAGATCCCCAAAATTACACAGGCTATTGCCACAGTTCTTGATTGCCTCCAAGAACTTGATGGTAAGACCCTACTACTGCTGAAGAGAGGACATACTTTGGACTCAGGATTTGGACCAACTGAGCTGGAACTGACCTGGAAGCCTCTTCCCTGAAGATTAGCTCTCACAGCTTTGGAGAGCGCTATGCAAACTGGTAAGGGAGAACATCAATTGATGGTCCAACCCTAGCTTCAGAGCCTGAAAACCACATCAATGACCAACATAGTGAATCATATTTGTGCAGCAGTGGGCACTTTTATCTTAGGGTAACATAGCTATCTAAGTGGACTTAAAGCCCATCCAATGGGAGGAAACTCATGCCTGGTACTGTAAACCTAGCCAAATACACATAGCTGGAGTGATCACAGATCTTAGAGAAAACCCTAAGGCTCTCATATCCATAGACAAATATAATTTCTTACTATGTACAAAATATGGATCCTTAAATTTACAGACAAGTACCCCACTCAGAACCCATCAACGTAGCTTCTTTTTCAACACAGATTATTACAGAGATTATTACAGAGTCACAGAGATTATTACAGAGTCACAGCACTAGTCACAGAGATTCTCTGTGAATTGCCCAAGCCTAAGTGGCACATCTAGGATACATTCTCTACACCTAAGACTCACGGAATATAGAACAAGAGATGAAGAGAAGACTAATGCATCTTTCAATTCTCATCAATGTAGCACCTCATTAGACAGAGGGCCAGGAACACAAAAGGCCACAAATGGCCAAAAAGCTGAGAAGAAGAGTGGGTAGAGTGTGGGTCTTTGGATGGGACTCCTAATATTGAGGTCCATCCATCCAGGGCTCAGGGCCACTGCGGAAGATGGGGCAGAAAGACGGTAAGAGCCAGGGAGGAGGTGTGTGACCATGCAGAAACAGTCTTACAGGTTCCTGGGACCCTTCTCATACAAACCTACAGCAATGGTGTCAGCATGCACAAGACCAATGCAAACTTAGCAGACATGAACAGTAAACCCCAATCTTAGTCGAAAAATTATTAACATCTGATTACTGCTGGGTAAGGAAAAGTTGATCTGCTTGAAGGGAGAGACTCTAGATAGGTTAAATAAACTATGGTGGATGAACTTGTACTGAGGGCCATTTCGAGACACTAACTTTATATACTAGGCCTTAATACAAATGACAGAATTATGAATTCCAGTCAGGGGACTATGAGATGGTACCAAAGGGGAAGGGGGAAGAGAGTATAAAGATGATTTTATGTATGAAAATACACAAAAATTCAACAAAATACATATTCAATAAAATACAATAAAATAACATAATGTCCTCCAAAAACCAGAAGAGGAAGAAATGCTTATCAATTTAGTCAATAAGTTCAATTTAAAGTATAACTACAGGCATCATTTACTTTTTACAGAAAATATATACTAAAGCATAAAAGATATAAAGTACAGGGACCAGCAGCACTTAACTGTTCCAGGTCTGTTCCCAACAAGCTGTACAATCTCTCTAAGTCCCATCATCCTGCAGGGGTTCAGTTTCCTCTTTTGTAAACTGGGAGGTACACCAAAGAAATCCCTTCCATCTATATGGCATAATCTTGTGCTACTTTTATTAAAAACACTCCTAAGGCCAGGCGTGGTGGCGTACACCTTTAATCCCAGCACTCGGGAGGTAGAAGCAGGCGGATCTCTGTGAGTTCAAAGCCAGCCTGGTCTACATAGCAAGTTTCAGGCAAGCTGGGGCTACAGGGAGACCCTGTCTCAAAAAGACAAAAAAAAAAAAAAAAAAAAAAAAAAACAACGACAACAACAACAAAAAAAAACACTCCTAAAATCTGCCCAATCCTAAACCGGTGTAGCCCTCTGGGAAGCAATATGGCAGTGTGTAGAAATAGTTGGTCTACAGTCTCCTGTAAAGACTTCAATTTTCAAATGTTTAAAGAAATGTATTTATTATCACTGTGTATGCACATATGTGTGCGCCCGGTTGTGTATGTGTCTGTGTCTGGTGTGTGTGTGTGGGTGTACATGCCATGGTGTACATGTCAAGGTCAGAGAACAACTTTAAGGAGCTAGTTCTCTACCCCACACCTTATTTGAGTTCAACAGCTCAAACTCAGATTGCCAGGTTTATGCAGCAAGTACCTTACCAGCTGAGTCATCTTGCTGGCCTTAATGTTTATTTTAATGACATAATTCAATCAAAGTGAAAAAAATACATAAAGGTCACTATAGTAACTTGCATATCAAACAAAAGTAGAATGGAGCAGCATAAAGAAATGCCAAGTTATTAAGTGCTAGCATGATGATACTAGACAAAATTTTTGGGTGTGAAAATGATCAGAATAAAAATGATCTCAACTATCAAAATGTATACAATGTATAAATATGTATGAGAGAGAGATGGGGGAACAAAAGATAATTTGCACTAATTAAAATAGCAATAGGTTTGTAAATGTAAATATGGCTCTTCTTGTTTTAAATTGCGAAGTTCCTTGAAATATCTGGGGAAAGTAACATGCAAAACATTAAGGGTAGAAGAACAAAATACCGATTACCTTGGCAAGATTCTAAATTGCTCTGGCTTATTATGAGTGGCCATGAACCTAGGGCTTTTCATAGACATTTTCACAATTAAAACTTTAATCAATTTATTGTAATAGTATTTTAAAAAAAATTTTATTTTTTTATTTTATGTGTATGTGTGTATTGCCTGCATGTAGGTGAGTGCACCTGTGTCGTGCAATGCCCGAGCAAGTCAGAAGAGGCTGTTAGATTCCCTGGAACTGGAGTTACAGACAGTTGTTAGCTGCCATGTGGGTGCTGGGATTCAAACCTGGGTCTTCTGCAAGAACAATCAGTGTTCTTAACCTCTGAGCCATCTCTCTGGCCCCCTATAAGAGTATTTTTTTTTACTTCAACATTGGCTGGAACAAAAGTACAAGTTTAATGATGTTACAAAGTAGCTATTAAATTCTAGACATGTTAGATGGTTCAAAATCCTTTTGCCTAGATTATTTATCATTCATGCTCTGTATCAACTTATTAACTTAAAATTTCCCAACTAGACTTCATTTTTAAATACGTCAGCCACAACATGATCTGAATTATACAACCAGAGTTTCTCTCAGCTAAAACAATGAGAAGAAGGCGTTTGGACCTTGTCTTCCCATTCCTACGGCATGAGCGCCCATTTGGGCCCTGTCTAGGCATTCCCGAGGGCTGCAGGGGTAACCCCTGGCAATGTTAACACGCACTACTGACAATGGATGGATCACAGGAAACAGTTTCTGAGAGTCAAAAAGAAGTCTATTCGTGGCAATTTTGCGTGGCTCAACCTAAGTCAATGCCTTTGTATTAAGAAAAATATTAATTACTGGGGCTGAAGAGATGGCTCAGTGGTTAAAAGCACTGATTGCTCTTGCAGAGGACCCGGGTTTAATTCCCAGCACCCACATGGTGGCTATGAACCATCCTTAATTCCAGTTCCAGGGGAATCCAAAGCCCTCTTCTGAACTCCGTGGCATTGCATGACATGGGTGCACTCACATACACGCAGGCAATACACTCATGCACATAAAATAAAAATAATAAAATATTTTAAAAAAAGAAAAATATTAATTACTGTAAAGACATTATCAAAAGGTATTTCAAGACAAGGTAAAGAACTTGACTAGCTTCTTAGGTACAGTTTTTATTTTGGTTTCTTTGATTCTTCTACATCTACTGAAGGTCTGTCACTACACTTTGATTTTGGATTAGAAAAAAATCCAAACATGACATTTTCTTATTTATGGCTCATTTTGCTGCATGTTTGTTTGTTTATTAGTATTGTAAGCTGTCGTCTATATAGCTGTTTTGATACCAAGGTCTGTGGAGTCACTGTTAGCATTCTTCAGAACCTTCCCAATAAGGACTGCTCTGAGGTGAGTCATTATCTACAGACCAGAATTTGAAGCAATTCCTTTTTACATGTTTGTATTATACTACAGTCATAAGCAGAACCAAAGCATGTTTAACAGCAGCCAGCGAAAGAGCAAGTAACAGTATTACCCCACCCTAACTCAAATCCCAAGGAAGCACTGTTTCTCTTCACAATACATGGAGTGCCAGTGCTTTTGGAGCAAGGCTTCCTTCACCTGCAACTGGAACCAACCCCGTCTTTAGAGCATCTTACCTGAAACTACCATAGACAATAAGAAGAATGGATATCAGAAATGTAGACACTTGACTGGAATCCACCAGGGAATAGGCCCTAGAGAAATGAAGAGAAAATCATTAGGTCACAGGCAGCAAGTCCTGACATCATTATTAGCATTTCAAATTAACACCACTAAAATCAAACTTGCTAGCCTACCATGAAGGATAAAGTGCTGGTTCATAGCTGTTGTTAGCTAATAGTCTTAGGATGTTAAGTGATAGTGACGCAAAAATTCCACATCTGTATAACATATAGTCTGTAATAACCATTACCAACTTAAACCTACTCCAGTGGCAAAAAGTCTCAAAGACTAAACTTATCAGTTTACAATGAATCATCAGGAGTACAGTCTGCATCTCTCTCTTTACTTCCCTCTTTACTTTCCTGTCTACTCTCTCCACCTGCATATGGATAGGAGGGTCTGCAGAGCTAGCAGGTCTAAAACCTACCTTTTGTCTTCCCTTTATTTCTGATTGCCGAAGATGCTCGTCTCCGTGATAGGCATTCCTTTACTATCCACACATGGTGATATCAGGCCCTGCTGTTCTCACATCATTCCCTCTGCTTCTCCCCATCCCACTGCCAGTTCCTTAGCCCCTTTCCTTGACTATGCGAAGTTTTGTTCTCAAGTGTCTTCATGAATTTACCCTTCACACTTCCCAGTTCTGGCAAAGCGAGTTATCTTTTTTAAAAATTTAGCAAATATTTAATGATGTTTATGTGCCAGGTACTCTGGGAGCCACTGGGGATACAAAGACAAATGAGTCCAGTCCTTGCCTCAGTGCTTTTTCTATAGGAATAAAAACAAACACAATTAACCCAAGTGAGTGAGTGTAACTGTGCAAAATGCTGCATAGAGAGTGCCAAGAATGGGCACAACACACACGTGCATTAGGGGGATCTCCATCTAAGCACAGGGTGCAGAAACTTTCCTGGCTCAAAAAACCTCTAAATTTAAAGATCTTGTAGAAAAAGGTCCTGGAAAGAAAACCAAAAAGAAAGAGAAGGAAAAATCAAAACAGCAGGAGTTTCAAAGAGGCAGCAAGACTGAAGGGTGCCTGAACTTTGATCCTGTGATCTACCACTTAATAGTGGCTAGGCTGACTACTGGACCTCTGAACTTGAGCTTTTTTATCTGTGAAAGGGGATAACAGCAACTCTCCAAGACTGTTACAGAGTTAGTTGAATGAGTAGACCATATAAAGAGCTTCACACAGTAGTACTCAATGTTCACTGTTTGTTTTAGGAGGGAGGGTCACCTATCCAATGCTGTTGAAAGGTTAGGTAGAATGAAAACTCAATTGTCTACTGGACTGTTGACCTTAGCACAAACTGCTTTAACAGAGTCTCAAATGGGACTCGGTGAGAAGGAAATGGAGATAGATGGTTTCTGAAAAGTAAAGGGAAAAAAATGGCAGTTGGAGGGAAAAGGATGGGTAAGAGAGATCTTTTAAAATGTCCTTTCTATCAATCTGTGAGGTGGCTCAGCAGGCACAAAGGCTTGAAGACTTGAGTTCAGTCCCCGATCCCACAAGGTGGCAGGAGGTAACTGATTCCAGAGAACATTTTCTGATCTTTACAAATGCACCACCGTGCATGTATGTATACACACATATACATACACACAAATAAATAATTAAAAAAAATTTAAGATAGGAGATACTCTTTTTTTTGTACTGACTGGAACTTACCCTAGTGAAGGTATGAATGCAGAAGATGACATAAATTTTTTATCTTTATTTAAAAACCTTTTAAAAAAATCTAAGGACATAGGTGGGCATGGTGGTATATGCCTTTAATCTCAGTATTTAGTCCCAGTACTTGGGAGGCAGAGGCAGGCAGATTTCTGTGAGATCAAGTTCAACCTGGTCTACACAGTAAGTTCCAGGTCAGCTGGGACTACAGGGAGACTCTGTCTCAAAAAGAACCCCCAATCCAAAAACTTTAATTCCAGGCATTTAAAAATTCTCACGTTTGAATATTCTTAGCATACTCAGTATGCTTAGACTAGTACTTTAAAAAATATTAATTCATGGGGCTGAAGAGATAGCTCAGCAGTTAAGAGTACTGGCTCCCCTCACAGAGGACCTGGGTTTGGTTCCTGGCACCCACATGGCTGCTAACAACTGTCCCTAACTCCAGTTCCAGGGGACCTGACACCCTCTTTTGACCTCTGCAGGCACTGCACGACACAGGTGCACTTATATACACGCAGGTAAAACACTCATACACACAAAATAAAATAAAAAAAAATTTGTTTTAATTGAATTTTTGTGATTTTCAGACAATATAGTTTGATGGTAATTAGACCACCTCCCCCACTGTCCCCCTACCCAACTTAATGTACTCGTGGTATATATAACATGGTCTGGAGAGTCTGACTTGTGCCCTCAAATATCCTTCAGTGTAGTTCCATCCACTGGGCTCACCAAGTGTTCCATTCCTGTAAGACAATTTTCTTTCCCCCTCTCAGCAGCCATCAACTGCCAAAAGTTCCTTAGGTTGGGTTGGGATTTCTTACCCATTTCTCCAATGTCTATGCTGGCACCATTGCTGTGAGTTCACATGTCTAACTGACCAGCTGTCTGGAAGACTCTTTTCCTTGTCATCTATCCCCTCTGTCTCTTACAATCTTTTCACCTCCTCTTCTGCAGTATCTCCAAGCCTTGAAAAGCAGAGGTTTGAGAAAGGTGTTCTAATCAGGGATAAGCACTCTGAGGCCTGTTGTTCTCCAAACGTTGGACAATGTGGGTTTCTGTGTTAATCACCATTGTATAAGAAAACTACTCTAGTGAGAGTTGCGAGATATATTCATCCTATGTGTAGAGGTTGCATTGGACTCCTCAATGTTAGGAGTCTCATAGACACGTATTCTTTGACTAGTTCTGGAACTCTGTAAGTCTCAGGCTATTGTCACAGCCTTTGATTGTCTCCCAGAACTTGAAGGTAAGACCCTATTCCTGAAAAGAGGTCACACTTTGGACACAGAACTTGGAACAATCAAGCTGGAATCGACTTTCTCCCTGCAGACTAGCTCTCATGGTATTAGAGGATACGATACAAGCTGCCAAAGGAGAAAACCAATCAATGGTCTCACCTATTGTAAAACCTGATAAAACAATAACTGGCCCAGCAAACTATCGCTATTGGTGTAGTAGTGGCATTTTTATCTTGGGGGGTAATCAATTGTCTAATTGGGATTAAGGCCGTTCAATGGGAGGAAACATGTGTGGTACTATAAACATAGCCAAATATACATGGCTGGAGAGGTCACAGATCCTAGACCACATCCCTAGACCAATGTTATTTCTTACTTCACTTTATATAATTTCTTACTTTACTTCATGTAATTTCTTACTTTATATGCATCCTCATATATACAGACAAGTATACCTTTCATCCCTCATCTGCATGGCATGGGTGCACTCACATACCTGCAGGCAATACACTCATACACATAAAATAATTAAAAAAAAAAGTCTTAGCTGGGCGTGGTGGCACATGCCTTTAATCCCAGCACTTGGGAGGCAGAGGCAGGAGGATCTCTGTTAGTTCAAGCCCAGCCTGGTCTTCATAGCGAGTTCCAGGATAGCTGGGGCTACAGGGAGACCCTGTCTCAAAACGACCAAAAAAAAAAAAAGTCTTAACAGCCTGTAACGGCAGCAGCAAGGGGTCTGATGATACAATCTTCTGGCCTCCATAGGTACCCTATGTAGCCAAGGTGTGTGTGTGTACCCACATACCTCAATAAAAGTTGTTTTTTTTTTTTTAAATCAATCTAAAACCAGTCTTAATAGTTGAGCATGGTAGTGCATACTTGCAATCCTAACACTGGGCACACAGTAAATTCCTGTCTCAATGCCACACTCCCTCATACTCTTACTTTTAGTGATGTACAATAAAATTTGACAAAAAGATATTGTGGTTCGTAGTCCACTTAAAAAAAGTATCACTACATTTGTTTATTTATATGTGTATAGATGTGTGTGTGTGATCCTGGGGAACTGATTCTTTCCCTCCACCATGTGGCTTCTGGGGATCAAATTCAGGTCATCAGGCTTGGCAGCATGCACCTTTACCCACTGAGCCATCTTGCTGCCCCCATAGTCAGTGCCCCCAAATACACACAAAATAACATTTTATGTGTATGAGTGTATTACTTGCATGTACGTAAGTGTGCCCATGTCTTACAATGCCTGTGGCAGTCAGAAGGAGTAGATCCCCTGGAACTGGAGTTACGGACAGTTGTTAGCTGTCATGTGGGTGCTGGGAACCAAACCCGGGTCCTCTACAAAAGCAGCCAGTGCTCTTAACCACTGAGCCATCTCTCCTGATCCTGTAGGAGGTATTTCTAAAAAGTAATTTAAAGTTGTTTTTTTTTTTTTAAAAATCTGACTAGAGCTATAACCCACCCCCCAAAAGAGTTCTCTTCTGAGAAGCATCTTTTTTTTTTCTTAAATAAAAAAATTATTTACTTTGATTTTATGTGTATGAGTGTTTGCCTGCATGTAGGTAAGTGCACCATGTGCATGTCTGGTGTGGTGCCTGTGGAGGCCAGAAGAGGGCGCTGGATTCCCTGGAACTGGAGTGAAGGCTGCCATGTGGGTGTTAGGGAGTGAACCCAGGTCCTCTGTAAGAGCATCCCATCCGGTCTCTTAACCATGGAGCTGTCTCTCCAGCCCGAGAAGCTTTTCTTTTGATGGTTTATTTGATGATTTTGCTTTATATCCTTGTATTCTGAAGCACACTGTCATTACCTAGAAGGTAATAAAGACTCGCACAGACAGGGTTAGGCAGGGAAGGAAAGGTAGGTATTTTAAGAAAATTGGTAGGCATTCCAGGGTATTCTAGGAAATTAAAGCCCAGCAACCTTATTTCACTGCCCTCTCCTATCCTCCACTTCACATTCTGTCAAAGCATGAAAAGAAATGTGTTGTCCCTTAGGCCCTTTAACAGGTCTGTTCCCAAAGACTGTGGATGGACATTAAGGACAGGAACTCTATTTTATGAAATAAAGGAATTCTTACTGAAATGCAACAATAAACTAAAAACAT